TGTCATCCTATGCCCAAAAATTATTTTTCTTTTTTTTTTATTTTTGTAGAGAGAGGCTGTCATTCTGTTGCCCAGGCTAGAGTGTTGTGGCATAATCGTGGCTAACTGTAATCTCAAACTCTCGGGCTTAAGCTCTCCTCCTGCTTCAGCCTTCAGAGTAGCTGAAACTACAGGCATGTACCACCATGCCTGTCTCATTTTAGAAATTTTTTGTAGAGATAGGATTTTGCTATGTTGCCCATGCTGGTCTTGAACTCAAACGATCCTCCCACCTCAGCTTCCCAAAATGCTGGGATTACGGATGTGAGCCTCTGCACCAGGCCCCTGGACCATGTTTATTTCTGTTTGTATCCCTAGCACCTGGCGCAATACCTGGCTTAAAGTACCTTTTATTTGTTTGATTGATAGTTTAAGGTCACAGTTACTGGGTGGCAGAGATGGCCTAGAATCCATTTCTGCTAAAGCATGCCTGGTGTTTAGCATACTTTTTATTTAAAAGAACTCATAGCTAAATCTAATGTCAGGGAGGATGTTATGTAGATTTATGCTTTGTTCAGAGTATGACATCTATTGAGATGAGAAATAACATTTTATTGAGTTTTTATTGTTTTATATTGCTCTTATGACATTTCCATTATAAGGGAAAAAATAAGATTTGTGATTTTAGTTAGCATATCCTCTGAAAGCTTGTATTTTTCTATAACATATTTCTAGGGATGTTTTTTAACTAAGCATGGGGAATACGTTTCACTTATAGGCCTTCCCTTTTTTCTTTCAACATCTAATGTATATAGGCATTTGGAATATATGCAACAATATCATTAATATGATTGGCAAATTGTCATAGTAGTGTAACTCTTCCAGGATTATGTAAACATTTTAATAAATGGACTCTTCTTGTACTTTTTGCAGATGTATGAAGTATGACAGGACTTTTAAAACCGTAAAGCACCTGCTAGGTGCGGTGGCTCACGCCTGTAATACCATCACTTTGGGAGGCTGAGGTGGGCAGATCACTTGAGGTCAGGAGTTTGAGACCAGCCTGGCCAACACGGCGAAACCCCATCTCTACTAAAAATACAAAAATTAGCCAGGTGCAGTGGTGTGCCCCTGTAATCTAAGCTACTCAGGAGGCTGAGGCAGGAGGATTGTTTGAACCTGGGAGACGGAGGTTGCAGTGAGCCAAGATCACACCAGCCTGGGCCCAGGCTGGAGTGCTCCTGGGTGACAGAGAGAGACTGTCTCAAAAAGCAAATAAGTAAAATAAAAATAAATAAAACGTAAAGCATCATAAAAAGTTAAACATCAACTGCAGTATCATACCACTATGGCATTTATATTAGAGAAAACTTCAGAAGATGAAAACCAAACACAATGATGTAGAGCTATCCTCCTGCCTCAGCCTCTGAAGTAGCCAGTATTACAGGTGGGAGGCACTGTGCCCAGCTCCGGAAAGCTTAAATGGAATTGGAGTAACACTCTGATCTGTTTCACATACGTTGCTTTAGATACTAGAAAGATAGGAACAGTGTATTCTCTTGTTTTGAAAATAATTCTTCCTCTCTGTGGTGTAAATTAGTGCTTCTTGTTCCTTTTCGGAAAACAGATACAAGTTATGAGGTAACGTTTAATCTTATTGTACAAATGGAGATTTAGCATCCAATCATATGTTCAACAAGAAACTTAACCAAAATGACACATTTTAAGCCCATATAAAATTACAAGTCAGCATTAAGAAATCTAAACAGTTGAATCTAGCCTTGATTAACTGTTTCCAAATTTTTCTATCAATACTCAATTGCTGTTTATACTTTTTACTTGTGTAATGGATAAGCAATAGTGTGGAAAAGGTTTAAAAGAAGTCCTTAGAAGAAAAACTTAAAATTGAACAAATTCTATTTGTTAGTTTACTTTTTTTCTATCTGCACATCAAAGAAAAGCCATTGTTATTTAATTCTGGTAGAATAGTTTGAGAAGTACTTGTGCATAGATATTTTTTACTAATTTCTCCCTTTATTTCCTGAATTATATAAACATTTGTGCTCTATTTGATTAATGTTTATGAGCACTTTCACTTATATACCTCTGTCCAATTCTGGATTCTCTAAGATACAGCATAGGATGTGGAACACTGGTCTCTCTCTCTCAGGGCTTAGAGTTACTTTACTCAAGGATAGGTGTAATAAAGTTGTTGATAGTACTTCTATGGTTATATTACATAAAGAATATATTAAGCAGATTTAATTCGTGGATGTGAAAATACGTTTTTGTATGCGTAAGTGTAGGGAATAGGTTATTTCCTTGATTTTAAACGTTCAAAGCATTCTAATATTACTTCACATATTAAGTTTTATATTTTAATTTTTTTTTTTTTGAGACAGGGTCTCACTCTGTTGCCCAGACCTGGTGTGCGGTGGTGCAGTCTTGGCTCACTGCAGCCTCTGCCTACCAGGTTCCAGCATTTCTCCCACCTCAGCTTCCCAAATAGCTGGGACTACAGGTGGGTGCCACTACTCCTGGCTGGTTTTTGTATTTTTTGTAGAGATGAGGTTTTGCCATGTTGAACAGGCTGGTGTCCAACTCTTGACCTCAAGTGATCTGCCTGCTTCAGCCACCCAAAGTGCCAGGATTACAGATGTGAGCCACTGCGACAGGCCACATACTAAGTTTTTAAAATGGAATCAGTCTCTCATAAATCAGTTTAATCACTTGACATGGTAATTTTTTAATGTGAAAAGTTGTTACTAAATTGGTGGTTTGTCTTTCTAGATGTTATTTTAGAATCAGGGCAGTAAGGATATACGAGGTTGTTACCTCATTTAGTCCTCAAAACGTCCGCATTTTACAGTTGAAAAGTTACTAAATTGATGGTTTGTCTTTCAGTAGATGTTATTTTACAATCAGGGCAGCAAAGTCATATATCAGGCTAGTGCTAGGCTCTCCACAGTGTTTATTTTATTTATTCCTCACAATATCCCCATATTACAAGTGAGAAAAATTTAGTTTTAGGTTAAACACTGCTAGATTACTCACTAGTGGAACAACAAGACATTAAGCTTTAAATCCAGTGTGCTTTTCAAACTTCTCTTCGTAAGTTAGAGAACATCTGTGGAAAGTCTTGTCGCTTAAGACTGAAAACTTTAGTTAATACAAAAGATAGTGATAACTCATTTCATGTGAATGTTTCTGATGGTTGGGTATGTCTTTTCATACAGGAGAGTAAGTATAAGAATGAGCATTGAACTACAATCAGTTTCTAATCCAGTTCACAGAAAGGTTGGTATTTAGTTCTTTTTTGAAATATCATTTAGGTACCGTTGTAGATAATTAGTTTTGTTCTTTAAGAATGTGACATCTTTTATTGCATTTATTTTGCTTTTACATTTTGGGCTATTTTGTAACTGTTGCAAATCAAGGGTGGTGGAATCTACTGAGAAAACAACTGAAGGATAATTATACTATGTATTTCTTTTTTTGTTTGTTTTTTTTGAGATGTAGTCTTGCTCTGTTGCCAGGCTGGAGTGCTGTGGCATGATCTCGGCTCACTCGCCTCCCAGGTTCAAACAATTCTCTTGCCTCAGCCTCCTGAGGAGCTGGGACTACAGGCGTGCACCACCACGCCCAGCTAATTTTTGTATTTTTAATAGAGGTGGGGTTTCACCGTGTTGGCCAGGATGGTCTCGATCTCTTGACCTCGTGATCCGGCCTATACTATATATTTCTAAAACATACATGAAGAATTGGGGGTTGGGGTGACAGTCTCCTTAGATTTGCCCAGTGCACTTATAAGTTGCATATACACACACACACACACACGCACACACACAAGTAAAATACCTTTTATTGCTGTTGGTCATATGTGCGCGCGCACACACACACACACACACACACACACACACACACAGCTGCCTTATAGAATTGGCATTTCATGGTGTAAATGTAAAAACAGTAAACCAAAATACTACAGGGAGATATTTGTGACTCTTTTACTTTACATTTTGAAGAGAGGCATTTAGAGTATCAGTCTCATATAACCTTCAAAAGTGTGAGTCATTAACAGAACTAAGGATATAGAATAGAGCAGGGGTCCCCAACCCCCTGGCCACTTACTGGTACTGTCTGTGGCCTGTTAGGAGCTGGGCTGCACAGCAGGAGGTGAGTGGCAGGTGGGCAAGAGATCGTTACCTCCTACGATCCGCCTCCTGTCAGATCAGCGGTGGCATTAGAGTCTCATAGGAGTGTAAACCCTATTGCGAACTGTACATGCAAGGGATCTCACCGGAAGCCCCCTAAGAAAAACCAAAGCCCGAACCGAAGGGGAAAGTTCAACCCGAAAACAACCCTCAACCCCTAGTTCTTGGAAAAATTGTCTTCTACAAAACTGGTTTCTAGTGCCAAAAAGGTTGGGGACCAATGGAACAGAGGACTAAGAAATACAGCATCTGTGCCAAGGGCAGTGCCTCACACCTGTAATCCTAGCACTTTAGAAGGCTGAAGCCAGATTGCTTGAGCCAGGAGTTTGAGATCAATGTAGGCAACATGGTGAAATCCCATCTCTACAAAAAAATACACAAATTAGCTGAAGGTGGTGGCATACTCCTATAGTTCCAGCTACTTGAGAGGCTGAGCTGGAAGGATCACTTGAGCCTGGGAGGTCGAGGCTGCAGTGACCTGTGATAGTGCCACTGCAACCCAGACTGGGCGACAGAGCGAGACCCCATGTCAAAAAAAAAACGAACTATAGCATCTGTTTTCTGTGTGCCATAGCTTTCTCTGAACACGTTCAGGGACCTAGTAGTATTAGTATTACCTTTGGTTTTTTAAGTAGCCTCCTGGGTGAATTTCAGGAAGTACTTAAATAGAAGCTGCTTAAGAACAAGGCATTCTGAGGCAGAGCAGGTGCCTAAATTACTAGTTTTCCAGGGTGAAGATTATATATTATATTTCTTACATGTTATTCCTCATGCCTGCTATACTTCTTCATTTTCTAGCTTTGTGCATAAGTGGTTTAGATTTTTCTAGGATCTTAGCATTTCTTTAGTAGCTATGAGTAGAGATTTTATTTCAAATGTGTTATTAACCTTAATGCCCAGTTCTTTATTAGTTTTACCTCATCTTGTAACTAATGCTGTTTTTCTTTCACCAGTGTTCTCTGGTACATAATTTTGGTGTACTTTTTGTGAGCTCTAGTTGTTACGATGATCTCCCACACTATGTACACTTAGCTACCTGGAAAGTGGTCTTTATGAAAGGTACCTACTTCATTTGAGACTGAAAACAGATGGGATTCCATGTCAGTGGCCACCTGGTTTAGGAGAGAATAGGCCCCTTGGAAGAAACCTGGCAATGTATTACCTGATACCCCTGTCTTCTGAGAGACAGAAGCTTTCTTTTTTCTAGTGTGGATTATTGTCAGTTCTGCTGATATATTTGCCACTTTTGAAATGCTATACTAGTTAATTTTAAGGGAAACTAAAAATAAAATTGAATGTGGTATGTTCAGTGGTAAAGAAAATTTTTGTCATCATGTTGTGGTATAGCAAGGACTGGGTCTAAATTCCCCAAGCCTCTGATAGGAGGATATTCCTAAACTTTCAACTCCTAGCATTTACTTAACTTTTACACACCTCCATGTGGCTCTCGAAGAGCAGAATGTCTACCCCTATTTAAGATTCTAACTCTGTAAAGACTAATAAAAAAGCAGCACTAAAAAACAAAGCTGTCTGCAATATAACTATGATACACTGATGTTGTTGGATTTTTTTTACTTCTGAGAAGGAAGAAATTACTCAAAAAGCCAGATCTAGTAAAAACATTTAAAAACAACAAACTTTCTTTCAGGACTTAGTTATTCGTCTGACTGATGACACGGATCCATTTTTTTTATATAACCTTGTTATATCTGAGGAAGATTTTCAAAGGTAACTGAATTTTTTTCTGGTCTTATATTTAATGAAAGAATAAGTTTCTAAGTTTTATTGGTACTGTTCTCTTTAAACACATACCTACATGTTAGATTTAGTTACTTTGGGAATATTGGGCTATTTGTACTATATTTACTTAGGGTGTTTTGGAAAATAAACATTTTGTGGGTTATTAGAATTCTGCTTAAAACACTTGTGAAGTTTGAAGCTTTTGCTGAATTTATTGATTTTTTTTTCCCATTGAATAAATTCTGTGAAAATCAGAGTTCCTTAGCTTAGTTCTTGATTATAACAAAGATTAGTAAATAAAAAAAAGAATCCTTCAGGATGCTAATTATAATTAAAGATAGTAATTGGCTGGGCGCGGTGCCTCACGCCTGTAATCCTGGCACTTTAGGTGGCCAAAGAGGGCGTATCATGAGGTCAGGAGTTCGAGACTAGTCTGACCAACATAGTGAAACCCTGTCTTAACTAAAAATACAAAAATTAGCTGGGTGTGGTGGCACATGCCTGTAATCCCAGCTACTCGGGAGGCTAAGGCAGGAGAATCTCTTGAACCTGGGAGGCAGAGGTTGCAGTGAGCCAAGATTGCACCACTTCACTCCAGCCTGGGTGACAGAGCGAGACTCTGTCTCAAAAACCAAAACAAAGTAATTAAATTTTTAAAAAATTTCTTTTCCTTTCTTCTGTATAGTTTAAAATTCCAGCAAGGTCTTCTGGTAGACTTCTTAGCTTTCCCACAAAAATTTATAGATCTCCTTCAGCAATGTACTCAAGAACATGCCAAAGAAATTCCAAGGTAAGTTGCATGAGAACACTACATTATTAAATTTAATTCAAGACAGACTCTTCTTTGAAACACAAGTTGATGGCAAAATATTTTCCATTTATTATGAATATCCCTGTTTATTTTCAGAACTGGGGTTAGGCCTCCATTAAATCTCAGATTTTGAGGCATTTTGATTAAAATCAGAAATATTTCTTAATTTTCATGTCTTGACAGAGGCACTAAAGTTATCCGAAATATTTGGCAGCATCAAATATTTGTTTTTTATATAATGAACTTGGAAAAAGGGAAGACTAAGATTGTATGTGTGTATGGTGCTAATGCCTGATTCCTTTATTGTAAAGTTCACCATCAACCTTTTACTTATTGGCTTTATCAGTTGACGATTGTTGTTGAATCAGTTATTTCATTAGGAAGAACAAAATGATGCTTTTCTATCATTTTTTCTATATTAAGTATAATTATTCTATAAAGAACTTTTCCTCAGCAATTAGGGCTATTTGATTACTCAGAAAATTCATAAAGGATAAATGCTTAATTCTTGCATTTAAATTGTCAATTTTTTAGAGTAAAGAGCTGGTAGTCTACTTTTCTGGCACTCAGTGAATTTTTGTTTTTAGTTTTTGCTTTCTCTCTCATTTGTTTCTCATGAACTCATGGACTTTTATATAGTCACTATGTTTCAGTCAATCTTTTTTTTGCCCAATTTATCTTATCTTTTACGATTGGGAGTCCTTTCATATTGGTCCCTATTATTTCAATGTGCTCCCTTTCCTGAGCTTTCTAAATAGAGAAGCTTCTGATTCGGTGAGAGATTTTCACTATCTCCTAAGTGTGTTATAATGTAACATATTCTTTTCACAGATTTTTGCTACAGTTAGTTTCTCCAGCAGCTATTTTGGATAACTCACCCGCATTTTTAAATGTGGTAGAGACAAATCCTTTTAAGCATCTTACTCACCTCTCACTAAAACTTTTACCTGGAAATGATGTGGAGATAAAGAAATTTCTAGCAGGCTGTTTGAAATGTAGCAAGGTAAGATTTAAATTTAAGTTATTGTTTTAACAAAATAAGTATCAATGGTCTTTGATAAATTGTTGAAGAGATACGGTGCCATAAATTTTTGCTTTCTGAATAAAGTTTTATGATACATAATGAATTTATTTTACTGTTTTTTATTTAGTCAGGGTATAGTGGGGATGGATCTGGACCAGGAATTGAGAAGCTTAGGTCCCAGGGTTTTTACCAATCATGTGTGATTTTGGACAGGTCACTTAAACTCTTCTGTCATGGTTTCATCAGCTGGTAGACGTGTATGGAAATAGCTACCCTATGTAGCCAATCTTAAATGAGATAAGATATGTGGAAATGTCTTGACAATTACAAAGTGCTATATGGCACAAGGAAACAACATAGGGATGCTGCTTGAGTTTTAGAATCTTTCTAGTCAAATACTATAGATCAGTGCATCTCAAACTTTAAATTATCTGGGGATCTTGTTAAAATGATTTAGGTCTGAGATGGAGCCTAAGAATCTGCATTTCTAACAGGCTTCCAGGATGATGCTGATGCTATACTTTGAGTAGCATGGCTATAGATGATTACATTGTAAACTGTGTAATTTTGTTATTTTTATGAATAGGAAGAAAAATTATCATTGATGCAATCACTAGATGATGCTACTAGGCAACTGGACTTTACACAAAAGGTAATTCGAATTTCACTTTGTCTTTGTAAGTCATCCAGATATTGGTGCTGAATTGCTTCCTTGACTCAGTTCCAAGCTTTTATGTATTTTCTTTCAAATCATGCTTCCATTGAATTTCCTCTCCTCTTTGCCACCCTTCAGCTACCACTTAATTATCTTAATCTGATACTTTCTCTTGTACATACTTGACTTCACACAAACATTTCTGTATCCCCGATATGTTCCCTCGAGTCTTCATTAAATAAGATGTGTATATTTCTGTAACATATTGGTTCTCCGCTCCCCACTTATCGCCTCATTCCTCTGGCCTAAATGACTTTTCAGTTCCTATGCTCTAAACCTTTCCCTTTCTTTGCTGTGTATAGAATTAATTCCTCTGACAGGGTTAGCATCATTTTAGTCATAGCTACAATATTTCTGCCCTAGTCCATGAAATTGAAGGCCAAGAGTATCTGTTTTAGCTTGTTCTTGCTTTGGTTTAAAGAACTATCTGAAGCTGGGTAATTTATAAAGAAAATAAATTTAATTGGCTCATAGTTCTGTAGGCTGTACAAGCATGGCACCAACATCTGCTTGGCTTCTAATGGGGGCCTGAGGAAGTTTACAGTCATGGCTGAAGGCAAAGAGGAGCAGGTGTGTCACATGGTGAGAGTGGGAGGAAGGAAGTACCACATGCTTTTGAACAACCAGATCTCGTATGAACTAACAGGGTGACAACTTACTTACCACCAAGGGAATGGTACTGAACCATTCATGAGGGACTGTTCCTATGATCCAATCACCTTCCACAGGCCCTGCCTCCACTGTTGGGGATTACGTTTGAACATGAGACTTGGAGGGGACAGACATCCTAACCATATCAGTATCTGATAATCTGCATGGCCTCATGCAGAAAATACCCCTGCACAATGTGGCCCACAGGGCCATGTTACTGGGTTTTATATGTAAGTGAACTGTTCCTTGTAATCAACTTGCTTCCCCCTGCCCCTCTTTATTGGGTGGTAAAGAGCCAGATTTAATTAAAAGCTTTAATTAAAAGATAGTTTATCTTGACCTGTGGGCCGTTTTGGGTCTAAGATTGTTTTTATTCTGATGTTGATTTCCTAAAATTAAAAAATTTTGTGTAGGAAAAGGCTTTGAACATGTCCTGAAAAGCTATAATTTTGTTTTCTTTAATATCCTTATAAATATTGGTATATTCTAATCAGAAGTATTACATATTAAGGAGATTATCTTAATGTTTTGTGTTAAACTCTAATGTAGACATTAGCAGAAAAAAAACAAGAATTAGATAAGTTACGGAATGAATGGGCATCACATACAGCAGCCTTGACAAACAAGCATTCTCAGGAACTGACAAATGAAAAGGAAAAAGCCTTGCAGGTAAGAACATTAAAGGAAACTGAAAAAATATCTTTTATTGCTGTTGGTCATTTTGTTAATTTTTAAAGTAATAAATGCTTGCTTTAAATTTTCCAAACATCGCAGAAGTATATAAAATGAAAATAAAAGTTCTATCTTTCAAAGTCTTAGTACCCAGAGATAATCTATAAACATTTTGATGTATTTTTTTAGACTTTTCTCTATGTATATGTAAATAATATGCAATTTATAAATATTTGCTTATAAACGTATAACTGTAAATTATGTTGTTTATATATGTGCCCATTTATGGGTTTTTGGTTTTGTTCTATACTAATGGGGTCTTGTTGGATATATTGATTGTAACTTTTTCTTCACTTAATATGATACCATTGTATATCAGTTAAGATATTCCTTTTTAGTGACTGCAGAGTATTCATTTTGGGTTAACTTAAATTATTTAACTACTTACCCGAATGGTGGTCATTTAAATGCTTCAAAATTTTGGTTATTTTAAGCAATACTGCAACAAGCACTCTTAGTTTCTAGAAGTGAAACTGCAACATACCTATATAAAATATTGATGGACACTGCAAATTTGCCACCCAAAAAGGTTAAACCAAATGAAATCCCAAAGATAAGGTAGTGTATAAGGATACTTATTTCCCCATATTCTTGACATTATTTTGAACCTTCTTAATTCTTTCTTTCTTTTTTTTTTTGAAACGGAGTTTTGCTTTTGTTGCCCAGGCTGGAGTGCAATGGCACAATCTCGACTCACTGCAACTTCCACCTCCCGGGTTCAAGCGATTCTCCTGCCTCAGCCTCCCGAGTAGCTGGGATTACAGGCATGTGCCACCACGCCCAGCTAATTTTGTATTTTTAGTAGAGATGGGGCTTCTCCATGTTTGTCAGGCTGGTCTTGAACTCCCAACCTTAGATGATCTACCCACCTCGGCCTTCCAAAGTGCTGGGATTATAGGCATGAGCCACTGTGCCCTGCTGCCTTCTTAATTCTTAATATTTGCCACCGGATCTTAAGGTAGTACTAGTTTTAGTTTATATTTCTTATATTTTTTGTGAAGATAAGCATTTTTATTTTTTTTTTTTATTTATTTTTTTTGAGATGGAGTCCCACGCTCTCTCCCAGGCTGGAGCGCAGTGGTGCGATCTTGGCTCACTGCAAGCTCCACCTCCTGAGTTCACGCTGTTCTCCTGCCTCAGCCTCCTGAGTAGCTGGGACTACAGGCATGTGTCACCACACTGGCTGATTTAAAAATTTTTTTTGTAGAGATGGGGTTTCACTATGTTGCCCAGGCTGGTCTTGAACTCCTGGCCTCAAGTGATCCTCCTTCCTCGGCTTCCCAAAGTGCTGAGATTACTGGCATGAACCACTGTGCCCGGTACTACCTTTATCACATACTAAATTTCTTTATGTACTTGGGCTTGTCTTTGGACTGTTGTTAAGAACTAATCTCATTTTCTCGTTCAGTGGAGAGAGATAGCTCTTCATTTATTAAGGTCTTATTTGTTGAAAACAGACTTTTTTACTCTTTATCTCTCTCCCTTTTTCTCTTTTCTCTTTTTCTTTTGCAGCCTTGTTAAACAATGTTTTTGTCTAGGGACTTTACAGATTTTTACTGCATAAATGAGACCATCCACTCCCTACCAATACCACTGTGGTTAAATTTGTAATTGTTTATCAGTAGTGTATATTAATGTCATATCCAACCACCTTACTGAATTTACATAGTGTTTCTAAGAGTTTTGAAATTGATTATCTTATGTTTTCCAGGTAGATATATAAACTATAAAAAATAGTAATTTTTCTCTTCCTATGATTAGTGTCCTTTTTTTTCTTGTACAGAAAAGTACTGAATTAATAGTGAAATTTTCATCTTGTTCCAGTCTTTTTTGGTAAATAACTAAAATATCTCACCATTAAATATGATGTTTGCTTTGCATTTGAGAGAGAGGGTTTTCTTTTCTTACTTGCTACCTAAGAATTTTAATTCAAAGAGCACTAAGTCAGATAAAATGAGTTTTGGGATCTAACCAAATAATTGTGTCGTTTTTCCCCTTTAATAGTGTAATAAATTATAACAATAGGTTTCCAAAGGTGGAATCATCTTCGCATTCTTAGAATAATACTTACATAGTCATAGTGATTTTTAATAAACTATTGTATCAATTTGCTATTATTTAACTTGGGATTTTTGTATTTTTATTTATTTGTTTTTAGAGACAGAGTCTTGCTCTGTTGCCCAGGCTGGAGTGCAGTGAGGTGCGGTCACAGCTCACTGCATCCTGAACCTTCGGGGCTCAAGCAATCCTCCCACCTCAGTCTTTGGAGTAGTGGTACAGGCCACTAGGCCTAGCTATTTTTTTTTTTTTTTTTTTTAAGAGATGGAGTGTCTGTCGCCCAGGCTGGAGTGCAGTGGCCTCCGGGCCTCAAATGATCCATCCGCCTTGGCCTCCTGAAGTGCTGGGATTACTGGCGTGAACCACCATGCCTGGCCCAGGATGTTTGTATTTATATTCATAAGTGACCTTGGTCTGAGATTATCTTTTTCCTGCACATCATAGTTTGCTTATTGCAATTGTGGGTTATAGACTATGGTATTAGAATTATGCTAGCCTCATGAAATGAATAAGAACATTTTTCAATTTTCTTTATTCTTTGAAACAGTGAAGTAACAGGGAATTAATCTGTACCTTGAGGGCCTGATACAATTAGCCATTTAACACCATTTGGATCACGCACCAAGTTGAAGCATTTATCTTTTTCTTTTCCAGTTTTCTCCATGATTATTGGTCTGTTTAAATTTTCTCTTTTTTCTTGAGTTTTGCTAATTTATGTTTTCTTTAAAAGCCATGTGTTTCATCTATGTGTTTTTATTTTTAAAATTTATTATTATTTTTTTTGAAGATGAGGTATTGCTATGTTGCCCAGGCTGCACTCAGACTCCTAGGTTTAGGCAATCCTCCTGCCTCAGCTCCTCTAGAGTAGCAGGGACTACTGGTGTGTGCCATTGTACGTGGCTACTATCTGTGTGTTTAAATATATTAGTACAATGTCGTGCATATTGTCTTGTGATTTTTAAAATCTCCATACTATTTCTCTTATGTTCTTAATTTGTTTTGTTTAATGCGACCACATGGTTTTTCTATTGTTTAGTGTTTTCGAAGAACCAGTTGTTCATTTCATTAATGAATTCTGCACTGTTTCCCCCCTCCCCCATTTCACTAATTTCTGTTTACTAGCTTTTTTTTTTTTTTTTTTTTTTCACTTGATTTTCAAGCAAGTTGTGTTCCTCTTGTTCTTCTTGATGTTGTTAGATTCAGGGGTACATGTGCAAGTTTGTTTCTGGGTATATTGCATAATGCTAGAGTTTGGGCTTCTATTAAACTCAACATCCAAATAGTGAACATAGTGCCCAATAAGTAGTTTTTCAACCTCTACTCCACTCTATCCCTCCCTCATTTTGGAGTACTCCTCGTCTATTGTCCATGGAAATAAGTTAGATCTAAAACTTTCTTCATGAGGGCATTTGTTTAAAACTCCAGAGTGACTGAAGGATTTGTTTGTATTTCTATATTGCACTTTCTAATAGGATTGTCAGGCAGTCCTTTGGGACTTTATAACCAGGTCAACACTTCTTTTCCTGCTAATAGATAATGTAAAACTTTAGTGTGCATGAGAATCATTTGAAGGGTACATTAGAATGCAGATTGCTGGGCTTCATCCCCAGAGTCTTTGATATGGTTAGTCAGGGGTGGAGTCCAAGAACTCGATTTCCTGATAGGTTCTTAGCTGATACTGATTATTCTGTTCAGAGGACCATACTTTGATAACCACTGCATAGGGTGCTGTTACTCTAATTAGGCCAATTTTGTGACTATATAGAAATCTGTCGAGTCAGGTAAACTGCCTTCTGTTATTACTGATGGTTTCTACAAATGTTATAGGGAATAATGTATTATCTATATTTGTCACTTACCTATTCAAGTGGATATTAAATCTGTGTTATCTTTACGACGTTTTTAAAAGGCAAATTTGATTCCTGCATTTTTAATTTTTCTTTATGTTTACACTTATTTCTCATGTTTTCTTTATACCTGCATTTAAAAAAATATACCGAGTAATCTTGTTTCTACACTAATTCTTTGTAGAAGCATTTTTCCTGTGAGGAAAGTTCTAGCAACATATAGAATCACCCATCATCCTTCTATTTCTCATATTATTTTCTTAATTCTGACTTCTATATTTCTTCACTTCATAGAATGTTTTATTAATTTTTGTTTTCCCATTCATATCATTATAATTCCATTCCCAAAACATTTTTCTCATGTAATATTCTTCCAAAACTACTGTGTGCTTTTCTGATGTAAGCCTCTATAGAATATTCATTTGAAAAATATTGCTTTCACCTCTACAAATTCTCCTTTTCTGTTGGACTTTATTAGTCTGAAACTGTTCCTCCAATGATAATATTTTTTCCTCCAGAATGGATTTTTTTTTTTTTTTTTTTTTGAGATGGAGTCTCGCTCTGTCACCCAGCCTGGAGTGCAGTGGCCGGATCTCAGCTCCCTGCAAGCTCCGCCTCCCGGGTTTACGCCATTCTCCTGCCTCAGCCTCCCGAGTAGCTGGGACTACAGGCGTCCGCCACCTCGCCCGGCTAGTTTTTTTGTATTTTTTAGTAGAGACGGGGTTTCACCGTATTAGCCAGGATAGTCTCGATCTCCTGACCTCATGATCCGCCCGTCTCGGCCTTCCAAAGTGCTGGGATTACAGGCTTGAGCCACCGTGCCCGGCCCAGAATGGAAATTTTTTAGTGTATTTTCTTTCTAAAAATATTGAAATGATTCAGAAGTGAACAAAGTAGAAAATGTAAACTTTATAATCCTAGTTCTCACACTTTTTTTTTTAAACAAAAATCTCCAAGGTTCTGATGTTCACTGGAGTAAAAACCTGTTCTTTATTTTCATTGCTTTTGGCCTCTATTGTCTTTAGTGTCTTTGATTACTTTCTTAGACAGTTACAGTTAGCATCTTTACCAGTTTGCTCTGATTTTTCTTCTTGATTGCTTCTTCAATGTTTTCTTCCAAGATTGCATTTTCAATTTTATATGGACTTCTTCCTATTTTATCTCTCTTTGCTCCTTCTCCTCTCTTTTTCAGCTTTCTAAAAATGAGGAAATTCCTGAAGTAGTAATGTAAAAATTCCTAAGGTATTTTATGAGAGAGAGAGACTCCCCTGTACTAGTGCTAAGAATTTTGAATGGGTATAACTTCTCTGGGATACAGTTTTGGAACTTATATCAAGCTTTATATTTGTTTATATTCTTTATTCTATAATTGATCATAAATAATCTGAATTTTAGATGTATGTCTGTACAAAAAAATCAATCATCATTTTATTTATAATTGTGAAAAATTGGAAACTAAATGTCCATAATAGGGCAGAAGTTAAATGAATTATGGAGTAGCCATGGATGGAATGTTGTGTAGCTATTAAAGACTTTACAAAGAATTTTTTAATGATGTGAGAAGGTGCAAATGCTAAGGGAATAAAGTGTGATTAAATTGTATAAATAGCTTGATATTCATTAAATTTAATATGTGTATTGTGTGTTTATGTGGATGTCAATATAAGTATATAAATGATTGGAAGAGAGTACTCCCAAATATTAGGAGTGATTTCTGGATGTGATTATGGGTTGTGTTTCCTTTTTGCCCTTAAGAGCATGTATAACTTTGATAACCACAAAAATATGCTTTATTTTCCAAAGATATTTAGGATTTTATAGTGTTCGTTAACAAAAATGGTACTAAGATAGGTTTGTGATAGGATTCAGACAGGCAGTAGATATTGCACTGTTATAACCATGTTCAAATTTTATTGTTGGTAAAGATGACTTGGACTAATGAACCAACCTTGCTCATTTTACAAAAATAAAAAATAAATTACAATTTTTTTTTGTTCAAATCTTTCTGTATTTGTATTTCTGATTTTTTTCTTTGAATTTTGGTACTGTATTTTTATTATATAACAGGCACAGGTTCAATATCAACGGCAGCATGAACAACAGAAAAAAGATTTAGAAATCCTCCATCAACAAAATATCCACCAGCTACAAAACAGACTGTCTGAGTTAGAAGCAGCTAATAAAGACTTAACTGAAAGAAAATATAAAGGAGACTCCACTATTAGAGAACTTAAAGCAAAACTTTCTGGTGTTGAAGAGGTATTGAATATTGGTTTTTTTCTCCCCCAGTTTAAAAGAACGTTTTGATTTGGTTATTTTAATGTGGTTACTTGTGTGGGTGGTGTTCCTCTGGATGCTCTGTAGAGTTCTCTTGTGGTGTTAGGGTAATCCATTCAGGCAGTGCGAAGAAAATTGAGAATTTGAAATTTGATAAAAAGCCTAATTCATAACAGAACTGAGGTAAACTTGAATATTTTTAGTTAGGGTCTTGAGAGCAGATTACTGGCACAGCTGTCAGATTTATTAATGTATTTTTAATAGTAACACAGCACCTATATTTCATAGGGTACTGTGTTGACAGGGCTGGGTTTTTTTTTTCCTCAGCCTAGTTAACATAAACAATTATATGAAATTCAGTGTCTAGTAATAATGGTAATGGTAAAGATAATAGTTAATCCTTACTGAGCATTCTCTGTGTTAGGTACTGTTTGAAGTGCTTTACATATATTAACTCATTTTATTGTTATAACAATTCTTTAAGGTAAGAACTATTATTAGCCCCATTTTACAGATGATGAAACTAAGGTACAGAAAGGTTAAATAAGTTGCCTGAGGTCACATAGCCAATGAGTGAAAGAACAAGGATTAGAACTCATCTATTATTTGCCTGTCTTTAGTGCTACCTTGTTCTTTCAGGCAACAGAGAAATTTTCATTTTTAATTTTATTTATTTTATTTATTTTATTTAAGGTCCGGGATACATGTACAGAATGTGCAGGTTAGTTGCATAGGTAAACATGTGCCATGGTGGTTTGCTGCACCTATCAACTCATCACCTAGGTATTAAGCCCCACAGAAATTTTTTAAATCTTGCTATAGTGCCACATTTGTTGTTGCTTTGGCATTGATTACAGACTTCTTTGTAGCATTATATGTTATTGTCATATGAATTATTAGAAAATATATGTAGTTTTTTTTGTCTATATGTAAATACCAAAGTTACCAGTGTTAATTCTAGCTCACAGGACTTCAAACTCTATTTTACCAGTCTCATGCTTAGAAGCTCTAAAGCTTTACCAATTTTGTGTTCAGATCCTCATATTGTTTTGCCCCAATAATAGATGTCTTCAGTTTTTCCTGCATACACTCTTCACACTGGTTGTAAAGCACTGGAAACTTCATGGTACGTTGGTAGTCTAAATGCTTCAGTGTAATGCTCTGATTTCATCATTCTCAGCCCTGGAACTGGTCATTATATAAACAGAACCTCATTATGTTGATTTTTATATGATCTAATAAAAATATTTCCTCCAGGATTTTAATAAGACTTGCAAATTGTTAGTTCTTGGATCTTTTTTTTTTTTTTAACCGCTGAATATTCAGTTATCTGTTTTAAGTTAGAATTTTTAGGCAGTAGTGCCCTAAAAATAACAATTGCTACCATTTATTGAGTTTTACTGTGTGCCAACCAAAATGCTAGGCATTTTACATAAGAATTTTTATGAAGGTTAAATGAAATAATTTATTAAGTATTTGTTATTTCTGTTTTACAAATGAGGGAACTGAGATTTAATTTAGGGAGTTTCAGTAATTACCAAGATCACACAGTAGAAGAGCCAGGATTTGAATTTTGTTTGAAACTAAAGTTTGTACTCCTAAAACCACTGTAGTCACAATACCATATAATTATTTTTGGAAACTTTTGTTGAGAACTAAAACTATCTAGAAATACTATATCCTGGACTTCATATACCAGCAGCCTTTGGGTTAATATTAGCTGATTGGGAAGAGATCTGTTGTAGATTTTTTTAAAATCTATTTTTAATGAACAATTGTAGTTTATTTTGCTTGAAAGAGTGAACAGAGAGATCTGGAAATGTTAACATTTATTGACATGGAAAGATATTTGTAATACGTGAAGAAGGTAGATTATAAACTGGAGAGTATCAGCCTTTAAAAAACAATCTGTACATGTAAACAACAAAGAAAAATGTTAATTCTAGATTGTGGCTCTCACCCTTGGTTACCCTCGAAATCAGTTGTGGAGACATCAGAAAATTATTGTTAAAAGTTTTAAAGTTACTGTAATTTATTCATAAATTAGAATTATTTTATTTTCCCTTGATCTGATTGAATCAGATAGTAGAATATTTTACAATTATATTCCAGATATGTGCTACTATACCATTAGAAAGACATTCATGTTTTTAAAAAAAATCTGTACTAAAACTTTAAAATTATTAAAGACTTTTTAAAAATATGTTAGACATCTTAATTATAAATAACCCGATAAGGCAACTTCCCTTTTTCATAATGCATAATTTCTTTCTTTTTCCATTCTAGGAGCTGCAGCGGACTAAGCAAGAAGTCCTCTCTTTGCGAAGAGAGAATTCTACACTAGATGCTGAATGCCACGAGAAAGAAAAGCATATTAATCAGCTACAAACAAAAGTGGCAGTTTTAGAACAGGAAATCAAGGATAAGGACCAGCTTGTTTTAAGAACAAAAGAAGCATTTGATACAATCCAGGAACAAAAGGTCTACTTTTAAATTTTTCTCAGAAATTTATGATCACATTTATAAGTAAACACAAATGCCCTAATTATTCATGTTTTTAAAAAATATATCAGGTGGTTTTAGAAGAAAATGGTGAGAAAAATCAAGTACAACTAGGAAAGCTTGAAGCTACAATAAAATCATTATCTGCAGAACTTCTAAAGGTTTGTTTTAAAGATTTTATAGAATAATATTTCATTGGATTACATAGAAATATACATATGAAGTTCTTTTATAGGCAAATGAAATTATCAAGAAGTTACAGGGGGATCTGAAAACTTTAATGGGTAAGTTGAAATTGAAGAATACAGTTACTATTCAGCAAGAAAAACTCCTGGCTGAGAAGGAGGAAAAATTACAAAAGGAACAAAAGGAATTACAAGATGTTGAACAGTCTCTTCGAATTAAAGAGCAAGAGGTAGTTAATATTTTAAATTTTTGTGTTGTAACTGTATTTTTTCCTCATTTATTTTTAAAATTTATGCTTTGTTACATTAACAAATGGCTTTGGCCTTTTTTTTCAACAAAAGAACATGACTAGATTCAGTAGATGTTAATAACTTGTTTCAGTTTGGAAAGTTAGTTATGATTCAGATACCTTGATTGCTCATATATGTCTGTGTTTGTATACACACGTAAATATTTTATTACATAATTGAGCTAATTCCTTTATGCTCATTTAATAATATTAGTGGTAACCATTTATTTAGTTAATAATACATTCTTCAGTTTTTATTTAACCTTTGTTTTGCTTGACTTATTGTGATGATTGATATATTTCAGGTATGCAAATTACAAGAACAATTAGAAGCTACAGTTAAAAAACTTGAAGAAAGCAAACAACTTCTAAAAAATAATGAAAAGTGTAAGTATGTTACATGTTAATGTAAATTAGGTTTGTAGTTTTATTCTTTTATTTTTTTGAGACACAGTCTCACTCTGTCACCCAGGCTGGAGTGCAGTGGCATGATCTCAGCTCACTGCAGCCTCCACCACTTTGGTTCAAGTTATCCTCCCACCTCAGCCCCCCAAGTAGCTGGGGCTAAGGTGTGCAGCACCATACTCAGCTAATTTTGTGGGGTTTTTTTGTAGAGACAAGGTTTTATCACGTTGCCCAGGCTGGTCTCAAACTCCTGAGCTCAAGTGATCCACCCGCCTTGGCCTCCCAGATTGCTGTGTTTAGGTTTACAGGTGTTAGCCATCATGCTTGGCTATAGTTTTATTCTTAACCTGAAAATTTTATTTGAATTCATAAAAGTGTAGGTATTATAAATCTAGACATTGTCCAATATATAAGTAATTTCTGCTTTAAATATGTGTCTTAATGCCTTTTCTATAAATTTATATCATCTGCCCAGTAAAAGAGTTAATCATCTTTATAAAGAAAACCATATCCCATATGTCAGTAACCCACAATTAAAACTGTTTAACATGTTGACTGTAATTTATTGTTTAAATTCTTCATTACTCCTTTTTTAAATTGCTATGTTTACCTAATGATAACAATATGAATTATTTAAAACCAAAACATAAAATTAAGATTTTAACTAACATTTTCTCAGTTTATACTACGGGGTATCATACATAAGATTGTGAATTTTAAGTAAACTGTAAGATATTCTAGAAGTGAAATCTTTCAAAGAATTGCTTGACTAGTAGAAATAACGTGCTTTGGAGAGTAATATAATAGGAGTCCTATGTGGCAGCTTCTAAAATAAGAAACTTTAATGACAAAAATGTAGGTGAACCTATATTGCTCTCCTGTGATGTCAGGTAGTTAAAAACTTATAATTAAAAAATCTTAGTATAATTTTTAAATGTTTAAGATGATTAGAAAAATGAAAACAGTGAAAATTCTTTACCTTGCTTCTTATTCTTTTATTTAAGTAATCACGTGGTTAAATAAAGAACTAAATGAAAATCAGCTAGTGAGAAAGCAAGATGTATTGGGACCTTCTACTACTCCGCCTGCACATTCTAGCAGCAACACAATCAGAAGTGGAATTTCTCCTAACCTGAATGTGGTAAGATTTAAAACAAGATGTGAATGATCTTAGTGAATTTCCTGAAACAAAAATATTTCCAGATTGTTAGGAAGTTTCCATGATTTAAGGTGCTGGTACCAATACAAAGTGGAGTCCTACAATTATTAGCACTGAAATTAAGTTGCCCCTGGAGGTGGAACAAAGGCACACTTGCTCTGAACAAAGAGGCCGAGTTTCAAGAGGACACTTCTTTATAAGTCTTGACTAGATATTGCAATCTTTCAGTGCTAACTAAAGCAATACCAAATATACTGAAAAACTTGAGAACACACAATGTAAAACATTTAGGAGACTTCGAGAAGAGAGAATTCAGGGTTTAGGCTTAAGCATAAACTGAATTCTATCAGAAAAAGAAAAGAAAGTAAAAAAGAAAAAAGTCCTGTTAGCAGGCTTGTCACCTTTAGATTCTACAAGAAACTGGTTATGAGATATAAGCTTTCTAGTTCCCATTACCAGATTTTTTTCTTTTTTGAGACAAGGCCTCGCTCTGTTGCCTAGGCTGGAGTGCAGTGGTGGGATCATGGCTAATGGCAGCCTTGACCTCCTGGGCTCAGGTAGTCCTCCCATTTCAGCTTCTTAAAGTGCTGGGATTACTGGTGTGAGCCACTGTTCCCAGCCGTGCTTTTTTTTCCCGCCCCCCTGAGAAAAAAGACTGGGCACGATGGCTCATGCCTGAAATCCTAGCACTTTGGGTGGGAGGCTGAGGTGTGTGGATCACCTGAGGTCAGGAGTTCAAGACCAGCCTGGGCAACGTGATGAAACCCTCTCTCTACTAAAAATACAAAATTCAGCTGGGTGCAGCAGTGCATGCCTATAATCCCAGCTACTTGGGAGACTGAGTCAGGGGAACCGCTTGAACCCAGGAGGTAGAGGTTGCTGCGAGCCAAGACTGTGCCACTGTACCCCAGCCTTGGGCGACAGAGTGAGACTCTGTCTCAAAAAGAAAAAAGAAAAAAGGGAGAATAAGAAAAGCAGCTTCTTACATTCAGAGGTGGTTTGGTACTATCTGATAGTTAGGCCTAGGTGCTGCTAGGAGCTTGCCTAGCATCCACACGTAAGCCTTGGGGCTCTCCTGTTGAACACAACAATTTCATGTAATATTAACATCAGGCACGATTACTCTGTGACTCAATACAAAAACAAGACTGTTTCATAATCATGCCTGAATACAAAAATATGAACATTGCTGAATCACAAATGTAGTCCATAAGCCTCATATCCTGGCTAACATGAATGGCTGCTGCTGCTTTAATTACAGCTTTGACCTTAATACATTCCTCTTGCCGTATTAGATAGGATTTATTCAGATACCCAGTCATACATTTATCCCCTTTTCCCAGTAGCTTCCAATCCACAGTAAAGCACCACTTAAACTTTTTCTTAAATCACCTAACATGTGCCTAAATCCAATAAATAAGTCCCTTTTAAGGGAACTTTAAAAGAAGATACCCATGGTATCACTTTTGGAGATACCCATGTTTCTTCATGGTGTGCAGTTTCCCTTGTTGCAAGGAGCAATAAATCTAGCTTGTATATCTACACATGGGTTCCTGGTGTTTGGCTGCAGGACACTGGCAGAAGGTTTAAACTTCAGATTCCTAATTGAATTTTTAACCTAATCTACTCTGGTAAGTCAGAGTACTGAATGTCTAAAGAAGGGGAAAGATTGCTGTTAAATTGGAGAAAGAAGTGCCTCGGGCTGAATTACAAACTTAAAAAAAAATTTTTGACTGGCTTAAAATTTGAATGACTGGTGATAGCTGTGTGAAAGGTGTTTTTTTGTATGCATCCGTTAGTGTGCACAAATGCTTCTCAAGATTTGTGTTACCACTGGCCTCAATATAAAAATAAACTTTGTTTTCATAACGTTGGTTACTGTGTGGTACCAGTATATTGAAAATTAGTGGCAAAACCAATTATTGTCTCAGTCCGTTTAAGAACACTAATTTTGTTTTTGTGCTGTCTGACAGAAAATTATTTTTATTTTATCTCTGACTGGCCTATTGATCTCCAGACTCCCCCATTCCCCGCTTTTTTAGGAGACTTAGAGTGAAACAAGTTGGTTCAGAAGCTTAGCTTTAACTTAGTACAAAAGTAGGTCCAGTAGTTTGTTCTATCCAAGCTTGCACAGCTGCTTTGAAAAGCCCTGTAGTTCAAAGTTATCGTAGCCCCATGGTAGATAATAAAGCAGAGTTTTGTGGTGTGATAAACAAGACTGGCCTCTGAGATAGTGCTCTTAATTATTAGTTATTATGATAGGTGCTAATGCCACCTGCTGAACAAATAATATTTAGAATTAATTTCTCATCTTTAATCATCTTTATGTTTTTATTTTTAGGTTGATGGTAGACTGACTTACCCAACCTGTGGGATTGGTTATCCTGTCTCCTCTGCATTTGCATTCCAGAATACCTTCCCTCATTCGATATCTGCCAAAAATACCAGCCACCCTGGTTCAGGAACAAAGGTAGCTAAATTAACTAATACTTGTTCTGGGAAAAAATATAGCAACCTATTAGCATACAAACATTTCACATCTTTTAAAAGTTCATTTATTCTTTGGTCAGTTTAGTAGTAGGTAGTGTATTAGATAAATATATTACTGAATATCTAGTATCTATGTCTACAGGAAATATATGCACTATATATGTCTTGAGTCACTGTAATGTATAAAATCTTGACTCAATCTGTTTAAACCTCACTTATTTCTACTCAACCTCTCCTTTTTGTTTTTGTTTTTGTTTTTTTTTTTTTTGGAGGCAGAATCGTGCTGTGTTGTCCAGGCTGGAGTACAGTGGTATAATCTCAGCTCACTGCAACCTCTGCCTCCTGGGTTCAATGATTCTTGTGCCTCAGCCTGCTGAATAGCTGGGATTACAGGCATGCACCACTACACCTGGCTAATTTTTTTGCAATTTTAGTAGAGGTGAGGTTTCACCATGTTCGCCAGGCTGGTCTCGAACTCCTGGCCTCAAGTGATCCGCCTGCCTTGGCCTCCCAAAGTGCTGGGATTGCAGGCCTGAGCCACCATGCCTGGCCAGCCTTTCCATTTTTATTCATTCTTCTACTTGTATCTCCTACAGCTCTCAAGCCTGACCAGGATTTCTGACTTCATACTGTTGGAGTCTTAGCTGTGATTTGGAGTCCATTGCTAGAATTTAAAGGTCTGGTAGGGCAGGCTTAAATCAAATTCTAAAATTTAGTTCTGACAACATTATCTCAGATAAGATATGACTAGCAGTCCCCCCAACCCTTGATTTATTTGTTAAGGCTTTCTTCTACCTACTTGAGTTCTTTTTCCTAATTGTTATTATTATCTTATATTTATATATTGTTTTTATATGTATTATAATTTTGTTTTCACAATAGTTTAATCCACCCAGATCAGTCACTGCTTTTATTTTCATTGCTAACTTCAGGTCCAGGTTTATTTTTTCTTAAATAATGAGACAAACATTTATGAAAAAATATTTTATAAAAGATAAAATTGAGGACTTTGAAACTGGTATTATAAACTCTATCAAATTAGGTCTGGGCTGCTCTAAAAATAAGTTGGCTGTGTTGCTCAGGCATGTGCTCTTTTTAGCCAAAGCCTTATTATCGCCAGGAGCTATGGAGAATTCTCAGTGAAATGAGAATTAAGCCTGAGTTTTTATGCCTGAAATACTGTTATGTAAAGGGTACTTAGATGCATATCATTGACTCTTCTTGCATTGCTTATTAAGGAGAATTAGATATGTGTGTTCAAAGGAATGCTTTTGTTTTGTTATCAGTATCAGTATACTTAAGTGTGGTTGCATCTTGGGATCATTTTTTTTCTTTAGAATTGTAAGTGAATTCACAGTTGTTTTTTATTTTAAACAACTTTCCAGGAATATATATATATAATGTCCAAAATGAGGACAAGTGCTACTAGAGACAGTTGCTTACTTGGTAGGACTAAGGATGACTTATAAAATAATACTACCATTCTTATAGGTCTTGGGGAATCAGAGGAATCATTATAATAAATATGTTCTTAAATACAGGAGCAAGACTTTCAGTGTTTCCTGTATCAGTGATCTCCATATTCTTTTGATTATGTATTCCTAACAGGGGAAAAAAACCCTAAAATAAACAGAACAATTTACGCTCTCATCTCGAATACATTAATGTGTATTTATTTGTGAATTTATGCATATGCTACTGAAATACTATATTATATGCCGTGTAATTATTGGTTAAGAGAGCGAAATCTGATGTTAGGATTTAAAACCTGCCTCTGTCAATGTGAAGTTGATCAAGCCACTGAAAAACAAACAGCATTCAATTCTTACACTTCAGTTTTCCCACTTATAAAATGGAGTGATAATTTTCTCTACCTTACTGGATTATTAAGTGAATTAATGCATTTGCTTAGAATAGTACCTGATTCATGATAAGTACTCCATAAATGTTATATTATTAATAATAAAATTATTCAAAAATAGAAATTAAAGAATGAGACTAAAAATAGATGTAAATGAAAGTTGTAAGATTTTCTTCTCAGACCTCAATGAATGGTCCTAATTACTGCCTACTTTGTCTTCCCCTGCTCAAACACCACCTACTTTGGTGATCATTGATCTAGGTAGTTTTGTGCTAGCAGCTATGTTGATTAAAACATGTACTTTTGAATTGCAGGTTTTAAAAATCACCCTTTTATTTTTGACATTGAACCTGTGATCTTCTTGATGCCTTAAAATGTTACTGTCAAGACTGAATACATTCAAGGAGATGTTTAACTGTGGGAATGTAAAATAACATGAGAAATTTGGCAAGAAACAAAATAATGCTTAAAGAATATGTGAGAATATTTAACAAGTTTGTGCTGTTCTGACAAATAAACAAATACTTGACAATTTTAAAGCAAGATACACAAAACTACTTGTTTTTTCTCTTTTATTTTTGAATACAATGATAGCCAAAGATTCATTCATTGAACAAGTATTTAATGAATGTCTACTATCTGCCGTGTCCAGGCATAGTTTTAGTTGCAGGAGATGACAGCAGTGAACAAGACAAATCCCCTGACCCTATGGTGCTTACATTTTGTGATGAAACACCAGTAGATAGTAAATTGTAATGTCTTTCAAACTAAACTGTTTATTCATTCATTCATTCATTCATTTATTTTTGTGACAGAGTCTCACTCTGTCACCAAGGCTGGAGTGCAGTGGCATGATCTTAGCTCACTGCAACCTCCACCTCCCAGGTTCAAGCGATTCTCATGCCTCAGCCTCCTGAGTAGCTGAGATTACACGTGTGCGCCACCACACCTGGCTAATTTTTGTATTTTTAGTAGAGACAGGGTTTCACCATGTTGGTCAGGCTGATCTCTAACTCCTGACCTCAAGTGATCCACCGCCTCGGCCTCTTAAGAGGTGGCATTACAGGCGTGAGCCTCTGTGCCCAGCTTGGGTTAAATTCTTGATCTTCAAGGTCAAACTTTCATCAAGGAGATTTAGAAGTATGTGAGGGATTTTCCACAATGAGAAAGGGGCCAGATGATTGATTTATCTTTTTTCTTTTAATCTGGTTGAAAGGCTTAGGGAGACAATTCTGTTTACTGTTAAGGACCAAGAAACAAAGTCTGGAAATGCCATACACAGTGGTCATGAACTACAAAGTAGTAGTGGAGTGGAGAGGAGACACAGTAATACACAGCATTATTTTGAGTGAGCTCCAGTTTTTCATTCTAACCCTTGACCCGAGGAGAAACAGCCATCCTTTTTCACTGAGTCTTCTACAGAATGGAAATGTGACTCAGTTTATCAGCTCCCATAGGGCAGGCAGAGCTAGAGACTATTTTAAGCTGGTTTGGGGAACCCCCATCCCAAGCACAGAGTGGATGCTGAAGGTTGTTTCCAGCATCCACTGGTGGTGGCTGATGGCTGGTCCTGGGCTCCCTGGGTCCTAGGCATCTCTTGATTCTCAGTGATGAACTTGTCAGTTGGCCAATGTAGACCTGTTGACAGATTACTCGGAATTACTCTAAGGTCTCTTTTGGCTTTATTCTCTAGTGTTTGAGTTTCTACAGGAACCTTTACCTTTTTATTTTCTCTGAAGGAATGTCTTATCCTCCTGACGTTCTATAATTGTAGTGCTGAAATGCTTGTTCTCTCTCAGTGTCATCCAGTACAGATCTCTAACATTTGTGTGTGACTGGCGGCTGCCCAAGGCCCTGTTGCCTCACTTTCTTTGTCTTGATAGTGTTTGGCCCACAGTGGGTATTCAGAGACAGATTTTGTCTACAGATAGCATTATTCAGTTTGATTAACTATCTAATTCACCTAGAGGTTTAAATTAATTTTTCATTTATTTGGTATTAACTGTTTTTAAAAGTAATGTGTAAGTATGGGAAGCTTCCAAAGGTACAAGAGGATGTACTATCTAAAAGTGCCTACTGTGATCCCCAGTCCTCTTCTCAGAGAAAAATACTGTTAGGAATTTCTTGTGATATATTCCAGAAATATTCAAAGCGTATATAAGACCATATGTATGTGCATGTATAAGTATATATATTCAAATGTATGAGTGTTTTTATATATAAACATAAATAGTACTTGCCAATTGTTCTGGGCCTTGCTTTTTTCATTTATGGCATTATGGAATAGGTAACTGCAGTGTATCAGAATGTAAGTTTTTGTTTCTTTTTAATGACTTCATAATATTCCAGTATATGGATGTACTATAATTAACTAATACTCTGTTTATGGATGATTAGGTTTTTTTCAATCCAGATGCTCATGCAGTGCTCCAGAAAATATTTTTGTACATACATCTTGGTGGCCTGGTATGAATAGATTTATAGGATACGTTGTTAGAAGTAACTGTGTCAAAGGCATTTTTGCATATCTGGTGACTAAAATAGTATCTTATTGTGATGTTAATTAACATTTTCTTGATTAAAGTGAGAAACATCTTTTTATATATTTATAGGTTATGTTTCCTATTCTGTAAAACTCCTGTTCATTCATTTTTTGTTTTTCATTTGTTTGTTTTAGCGATGGAAGTCTCCCTGTGTTGCCCAGGCTGGCTTCGAACTGCTGGGCTCACCTGATCCTCCTGGTTCAGCCTCCTGAGTAGCTGGGACTACAGGCACGCATCATTATGCCTGGCTCTTTCTTTTATCTGTTTTTTTGTTTGGGAGGTTTAACATTTACAAAATGGTTTTATAAGTGTTCTTTACATATTCTGGACGCTAGTTTGCCGTTGTTTTTAATGTGCTGTTTTGTTGTTTTGGGTTTGTTTTTATTCTTCATTATACTTCCTTTTTAAAAATTTAAAGGTTGTTAAGGTAGAATTTACATACCATGAAATCCTTCCACTTGAAGATTAGTTCCGTAATTTTAGTCAGCTTATAGAGTTGTGAAACTATACCACAGTTCAATAGTAGAACATTTACATTACCCTAAAAGTACCCTAGTGCCTGTTTGCAGTTTATCC